CCTGCTTGGGCAGGGGGTTGGGCTGGGTGACCCACAGAGGTCCCTTCCAACCCCTACTATTCTGTGATTCCGTGATTCTGTGATTCTGAGATGCCCGCTCCTACTGCTAAACAGTGCGGAAGAGCAGGCAAAAGAAAACAGGTAAGAAAGCTCCAGGGCTGGCAGAGGTCAGGGCAGGAGGGTGAGCAGGACCTGTGCCTCCATCGCTCCCCGTGCACAGACCGACACGGAGCCGGGGTGGGCACCGCCCTCCCCGAGCCCCCGCGCCCTCACCTCGTTGCTGATGGTGGAGTCCCTGTGCATCATCCGCTGAATGTGGGAGTCCAGGCTGGCCCCGGAGGAGCACTTGGCCAGCGCTGCGGCGTGCGACTCCTTCTCCCGCTGCCGGACGATGGCCTCGCAGCCCAGCCACTCCGCCATGGTGTGCTCGTAGCAGGCGCGGATCTGGTCTTCAGCCTGCAGCGTTGAGAGAGATTGGGGGGGGGTCCTTGAACAGACGCCCCTGGAACAGCCCAGAAACCAGCGCCTCCATCCCCTGCACAGCTCTGCACAGACAGCTTAAGTGCCTTCTTGCATCACCTGTCACTAGATGGGGCATAAAGTCACCCATCTCCTGCACGGTGCCAGCCAGAGCCTGACCCACAAAACCTCACAAAAACAAGGATGGAAGAAGACGATCCATCTCCTTCCCACCTCCCAGAGGTGCAGAGGGCACTGAGCAGCAGCAGCCAGCACCCGCACAGGGGAGCGTCGAGCTCGGTCCCATCAGTTCCTGCTCATCTGAGTCTTTCTCCCATCTCCTGCCTACAGCTGCAGTACAAAGGGGACGCGACACCCAGCGGGTTCACAGCGTGGACTCTGGGATACGAACGCTTCAAGCTGTGAAACATCCAGGGCACACCAGTGCAACGCCCCAGGCTGCTGAGCTGGCAGCACACCCACACCAACCTCCTTCCTTTCCGCCTCCGTCATCCCAAACTGATAATGGCCCAAAAGGAAGGGCCAGACCGCCTTCCGGATCTCGTGCTGGATCCCGCCGTAGTAGATCAGCCGCAGCAGCTCCTGGTCCTCGTAA